GTAACCTGGTCTACTATATGAGAGGTTCCGGGTAGGATCAGATCAGGGCGGGAACAGTCTCTGTGGGCGATGACTAGCCCTGGGATGGTGGTCCATCACAAGGACAACACTCCATGACATGGTCATCATCCCGGCTGGAAAGGCCCCAGTTTCTTGAGGAGACTCTCTATTGATCCCCTGTAGGGGCCCCTCCCATTTCCTGTATGCATTTCTATGGTGCTCAGATATATATTGCACAGTGCGGAGGACCGTGACTGAACACACTTCTTCCTCTCCTATATATGTGTATAGAGATGTACGAGGGCTGTACATTCACAGTGATCACTTTCCGAATCTCCCATCAGACTCGCAGCAATAAGCCCCATGTGTTTCGGTTACATCGGTCATTTATTTGGGATAGTAGACCAATCACAATGTAGAGTGTCAGCTCTGCTGACTCATTTTGCCTGCAGACTACAATATACCCAGCAGGGGGCGCTGTCCATGGCCACTGGGAGCACTGCTGCCACTCATGGCTCATGCTCACCCATCTGCCGCCCTTAAAGGGTCGCTGACAAACTGCAGCCTGTGTAACCTCCGAGCTCCCCTCATCATTTCCCATTAAATATCCTTGGGGGGGGCGCATCAGTTATATATAACCCCCATGGACGGGCCTTCCAAAGCCCCCCCCACCCCGCCCCCCCGACTCTCCTGCACGCATCATACGGAAAATACGGGGCTGATGGGGTGATATATGCATTGAATGTAGAACTTGTACTGTAACTAATCCTTGTACAAAGGCTAATCTGTATAATAAAGCTTTTCTATACCGCCCACCATGTGTCCTGTCTCTGTGAGCTTCTTATCAAAGTGGACCTGTCAGTGAGATAAAAAGGTCTGAAAAATATCCTGAGATGGTGTCATCAGTCTGCTGCAGGCAGGAGGGAGCATTCCCTCAGTTTCCCCTCCCCAGTAATCAGTCTGCTGCAGACAGGAGGAAGCATCTCCTCAGTCTCCCCTCCCCCAGTGATCAGTCTGCTGCAGTCAGGAGGGAGCATTTCCTCAGTCTCCCCTCCCCCAGTGATCAGTCTGCTCTTTTAGACTTTCTGCTGTCAATCAAAGGCCAGCACATTACACATAAGACAGAGGCGGCAGAACTATAAACATGTTCACAATGATGATTGATATGATTTGTCTGCAGACATGGCAGGAATGACGCATGCGCACTCTGTGTGTACGGGGCCCTCAGTGTCCCTAGATCACCTAATCTGGTTGCCCCGGGGGAGAGTTTTGTACACTTTCCACAGGAATGCCCTGAGCCGAACATTCCTGCACATCGCAACCACCTGCATGGTGTGTAGCGTCTACATATATATATATATATATACCGACCCCCTCTTGATACATAGAGACCCCCCTCTACATACATACATACATACAGACCCCTCTTTACATACATACAGAGCCCCTTCTACATACATACAGACCGCACTTTATATACATACAGATCCCACTCTAAATACATAAATATATACATATACATACATAAATATATATATACATACATACCCCCCCTTCTCGATGACCACCACTGTAAGGAGCATTCTTCTCACTGACCACTAACTTGGGGGGGGGGCATTCTTCCTACTGTCCACCAATGTAAGGAGGGCGTTATTCTCCATGACCTCCAATGTAAGGGGGGTGTTCTTTTCAATGACCATCAATGTAAGGGGGGTGTTCTTTTCAATGACCATCAATGTAAGGGGGGTGTTCTTTTCAATGACCACCAATGTAAGGGGGGTGTTCTTTTCAATGACCACCAATGTAAGGGGGGCATTCTTCTCAATGACGACCACCAATGTAAGGGGGGCATTCTTCTCAATGACCACCAATGTAAGGGGGGCATTCTTCTCAATGACCACCTATGTAAGGGGGGCATTCTTCTCAATGACCTCCAATGTAAGGAGCATTCTTCTCAATGACCACCACTGTAATGGGGCAATGTAAGGGGGGCATTCTTCTCACTGACCGCCAATGTTTGGATCATCTTTCCCAATGAATTAGTCTTGGAAGAGGTCCCCAGAGGCCTGATTATTTTACTGGTTCCTCTGGGGTAATAAAGGTTAGGAAAGGTTGGTCTATATTGTTCAGGAAGCAGCACCAAATACACGAATGTACCACCAGAGGGCACTACGGGTAGAATACACATAGGGAAGGATGGAGCACCACAATAGCTTGGAAAATGTTTTTCGAATGTTACTTTCAGTGGATTTCCTTTCCATAAATGATTTATATTCACTTGCAATGTGTCTTTGAACATGCTAGCAAATTCCTTAGACCACCCCCTCCCTCCTTGCACATCGTAGCCCCCC